TGCAGAGTCTTCTGAACACCCTGAGCAACAATCTCCGTATGTTTGGCATGCGATTCGCCCCTGTAAAATGTAAGATGATGCTGCAGGATTGGACTTCATCGACCCCTAGATTAGAAATAGGAAGTGAAGTGGTAGAACACGTTGACCGCTTCAATTACTTGGGAAGTACCATCAGCCCCAACGGGTTGATCTCAGACGAAATTTCAGCACGAATACAGAGGGCTAGGTTCGCATTCGCCAGTTTTCGCCGTCTCTGGCGTAGACGTGATATCCGACTATCGACTAAAGGGCGTGTGTACTGCTCAACAGTCCGCTCCGTCCTCCTTTATGGCTGTGAGACCTGGCCATTGAGAGCAGAAGACATGAAAAGATTAGCTGTGTTCGATCATAGGTGTCTGCGTTCTATCTCCCGTGTGAAGTGGTATAATAAGGTGAGCAATATTGAGGTTAGGCGTCGAGTGCTAGGTAAGGCGGGGAAATCAATCGACGAAACGGTGAAATTACATCGACTGAGATGGTTAGGACATGTGCTACGTATGCCTAGTCATCGCCTTCCTCGACGGGCAATGTTAGCTGATATAGGGCCAGGCTGGAAAAGAGCTAGCGGCGGTCAAACGAAAACATGGCACCAATCAATGAAATCGACAACTGTTAATCTAAGCCACGTAGGAAGATGTAGACTTCCTGGTTGGGGCCCTCGGGATGGTAAAAACCAATGGTTGGAAACAATTGGTGACATGGCTCAAAATCGTTCCCAGTGGCGCAGATGCATCCACTCCTTGTGACTTATGATTTCCAATTAAACTGTTTTGTTCTCCGTTATTACTATTCCTTTGTCTCACACCTCTGTTTACTGTCTATATTATGCATTTCTTTTACTTTCTTCATTTGTTTTGCGTGCTACATAGATTGTGGCGACTTGAACTGACGCACATATGTGCAAAGTTCTATGTCGAAAACCGACCGACCGACCGTTTCACAGCAACGAGATAATAATTTTAATTTCTGTATTGGTATTACTCTGATGAGGTATTAAAAGCCCATGAACCTACCTACCTTCACACCTCCCAAATAGTCCGCTACAAAACAAAGTAACTTCGGTTACAGAATCTTATAACATATATTACTACCTAACATTATAATCCCATATCCGTTCCTAGTTCGGTAGATCTCCCACATGCTAGATTTGTCACCACAGTCTTTGATATGCATTTTGTATTTTTGTAAAATTCGCAGTCTTCATGCTTCTTATCAGGGTTCATGGTTTTACATCGCTATTTAACTTTTAGTAAGGTACACTTTCCAGTTCCGCACATTAAACTGATGAGCAATCCGTTTTGTTCAATATTAAAATTTTAATGTAACATATTGAATCACAAATTATTCTATGATAAGAAATAAAAGCACTAAAACGCCTACTTCCCAATGGTGTCATAAAGAAACAGTTATTTGTTTCTAGTAATCCCTTATGCATCAGATTTTACCTACATTAATGTTTCTGCTCACTTCAGATTTCGTGGTTAATAGTTGTAGTTTGTATGAGGAGTAAATTTGATGGTAAATAAAAGTGCTGAGAATTCCAATTTGTACAAAAATTGTTGTGTTTCTTGTTGTTTATTAAGTTAAATCGAGTAATAGTATTGCTTGCTGCAAGTAATAAGGCTGATAACTGCTGAGGTTATTTTGAATTACTACATAGTTAGTTTTTCTGGAACCGAAATCCATCGGTATTTTAAATATCGGGTAACCTGTCCAAATCTGAGATAGAGTTACATTCAGCTAGCAAGTCCCAAATAGGTTGAAAAGCCATTAGGTAACTTAACTAAGTAACTCTGATTAATACTGTTTTACTGTGTGATGCATCTCATAAACAAACGAATGTGGAGGGATCTTTGTCATTAAGGAAAAGAACATTCGATTGATTTCTGAGTCCTAGTTCATCTCTTCTACACCCAAAACATGCAACAGAAGTGACTCAACGCAGAGATATGGAAGATATTATCACCACCAGTCAAATGAGAGGACAATTAATAGTGTTAAAATGTATCCAATTCATATTATAACAAGTTATTTATTTTACTATGAAAACATCTCATTTTCCATCTTATTGACTGACAACACTCGTCTTATTTCCCATCCTATTGTATTTTATTGATAACAATAATATTATTATTTCCGAATGTACTTTATCTTCCTTTCTGCTTCACGCAAGTCTTATATTGATTTTACTTCAGATGTCTAATCAATTTTTACTCATGTATTATAAACGAAGCAAGAAAGTTATGTGAGTACATTGATATGATTATGAGCAGCAATAAATTGTGTCCAGAACGTCGTCATCAGTAAATATTTCTATATAACAACAGTGTGATTTTATCAAAATAAAATTTTATCCATAATGGAGTTAAAATCTGCCACAGTGCCCAAGTTTTATCCTTATATTGACAATAACTCTGACCTCTGTTGTCAGTTGACATTATATACATAAACCCCCTAAATAACAGTACAGCTCTGGAGTGAAGTTACGAAAAGAGATCTATTTGCAGACTTATGTGCTCTACATAGTACAGACAACTGATTGAAATCACCTGCTCGACAGCTCCTAATCTTCCCTTACATTCTACCGTCAGCAACAATGCTTCAAACCCAGGAAGTGGGACAGAAAGGACTGTTGTGCAATACACAAATAGTGAGATGAAAATGTCTTCATTAAGCTATTTTAAAAAAATAATAATCAGACATCACCTCTGTGCCAGGAGTGAAGCAAGTTAACAAATGTAAGACGAACCTACATTGTCTGCACTGAGATTTCTCTAGTAAACAGCTTACAAAGGCGAATGCAACACATTCAACTTAAACCAGACAAATTCTGTGACAGCTTCTCACACATAATAGAGATTCTATTGTGTGACATTCCCTGTAGTGTTTGAACAGTTTTAGTATTATCAAAATCTTTAGTGTCTGTAAGTATGGTATGAACTTTGCGCCGTCCAAGTGCAAAGTACTGTTACAAAATTGACAGGAGCCTGTACCTGCACTCACTCTTGCGGGTGAGTTGTTGATAAGTTTGTGTATCTGGGTAGTTGTGTGAGTGCTGGCGGAAGGGTGATGGATGAGATTTCCAACCGTATAATGAAGGCTAGGGTGGCATACATCAACTTGAGCCACCTATGGCGCCGTCGCCATGTTAGCCTGGCTGTCAAAGGTCGGGTATACAATGCTTCGGTGCAGGCTGTCTTGCTCTACGCCTGTGAAATCTGGCCTCTCCGAGCTGAGGATGTGCGGCGACTCTGTGTGTTCGATCATCACCGTCTCCGCAGGATTGCTTGCGTTCAATGGCATCATCGCTTGAGTAATTCTGAAGTTCGGCGCCGTGTGTTTGAACACAATGGAGATCACCGTTCATTGAGTGTCGTCATCTGGAAACACCAGCTCCAGTGGCTTGGACATGTGCTGCGAATGTCATCCCAGAGGCTTCCGTACAGGTCTCTGTTCGCTAGCCCTGGAACGGGATGGAAAAGGCGGAGGGGTGGTCAGTCCATGACGTAGTGTCGTGGGATGAAGGATGTTTGTGCTAGATTAGCATCGTTTGTTGCGTCATGACTCCCTGGTTGGGGTCCGCGAGATAGCTCGAAACGTTATCAGATATGGCCAAGAATCGTAATCAATGGCGAACGTGTTGCAATTTCCTTCTTTCTTCCCTTTCCGACAATAATTGACGAATGATTTTTGAACTTGCTACAAATGACTGTTTTCCTTCCAGATGAAGTTCTTTACCCGTTCTCTACTCATATTTTTTACTTATGATCCATGCTGTTTTATTATTATTGTGTGGCGCATCTTACTTGGTGCCATATTGTACCAAGTTTTTTTCTGCGTTTAAATAAAATAAAATAAATAAATTATCAAAATCTATCTTGTGACTTGACAATACCTGAAAACTCTTCCAGTTTGTTGAATTTCTTCGAAGTGGTATGGATGGATGCTTCACGGTATTCTTGTTTGCTTTCATTTAATTTCACAACACAAATGTCCTATAATATGTCTTGAAATCTACACAGAAAATTTTATAAGCGCAGCTAGACAGAGAATCTTGTGCAACGTTATCCTTCTACTGAAATAGGGCACTTTGTTGTGCATCTGATGTTCTAAAGACGACATCGGTATCTCATTTATAAGGAATTCTGCCATTCTCATCTGTGAATGAAAATAGTGGTTATCCATAATTTCGGAGTACTCGTCAGATAACATCTGAACTGAATTCGCCAGCTGGCTACGTAATCTCAAGATTTTCGTAACAAATCTTGGTTCTTAATGGTTTTTACAAATTTTACGCTATTCCTAATCAATATCAACACATTACTAAGCTTAAGTGAATTTCCAGTGCGTTGAGAATACTCTCCTATTCAGTAAACTCGATAACTACACGATGCTTTTACTACTCCCGACTAAACTTTTTAAGACTGCCCAAAAGAAAACCAATCATCAGTAATCGCGATTTTGAAATAACGGTGTAGATTCACAGTTCAGATGGATATTTTTGAAAATGATGGTATTCTCTGGACCAAATGGTTTCACTGCGAAGCTGGACAGCTGTTTCGTCCTAGTTTGGGACTCTTCATCGGCACTCACCCACTGGAGTTCGAACAAAGGACTGTCGTTACAACTTAAAACTACTCATAATTAACTGATCCCATCTACATTTACGTCAATTCGACTTAATCAATACGTCTTACACTTTCCGTAAAAACTATTTCGTCGATTGAATCACTCTATCAATAAACTTCTTAATATGATAATCTGTTGTTTTTTTCACTAACATCAAGACAACTATTTTGACCAACTTTAAACACATATGCAATGAATACATTATAAGATACAAAGATTCCGATAAAAAAACACAACAACATATCTATTGAGTTAACAAAACCAACGATTCATAATATGAACATAAATACAAAGTACAATAGTAATTTGAACACACAATCATTATTATTCATAGTAAACGTCTAGTCTTTTTAACCAGAATTACTGCATATAGTATTTAACGCTTTTGCCACCAATGGAGCATCACGTTCAAGGATACCGGAATTTATAGACACAGTTTCATAAGCTTGATTTAGAGTACGCACACAAAACACTGGATTTGCATTGAAAAATTCCTGAAAAAAAGAGGGAAAAAAATTGTGAAATAAGAAGACAAGGCTTTTAAGGGATATTTTAAAAATTACAAAAACTCTGTCAATCACTGGTAACACCACCCCATGGAAGTAATCCGTAAACCGGGAATCAACTCAACTCAGTCTTTATACACATAACAGAACAAATTTAATTTAAATTATATTCAGTGGAAATGTTAGTTTAAGCCAGCCACGTAGGAAGGTATAGACTGCCTGGTGACTTATATATAATACCCAATAAAACTATATTGTTCTTCATTATTACTACTCCTTTTACCTCATATCTCTGTTTACTGCCTCTATTTTGCGTTTCTTTTTACTTTACTTTCTGGCTTTGTGTGCTGAATGAAGTATGGCGACTCGAACTGCTGCACACCAGTGCAAAGTTCTATGTTGAAACCAGACAGATAGGCAGACAGAATGCAATGGGCACTCAGACGAATCATTTACAAACAACTTCAACGACCCGCATGAGATCATCTAGTCTTAATCAGCATACAATCTAACATTACACAGCAACGAGTTAGGTTATAAAAAGAAGAGATGAAAATGTCCCACTAATAGAGAACCACTCTAAAGTAAGAAAGAAAGGGAATATTTTTCAATAGTTAGTTTGTAGGAATTTGATTTGTCTTGGGTTTGGCCACCACTGGAAACCAGGGATTACTGGACAGCTATTTTGTCCTACCCCGGGTACTCATCATCAGTACATACCCATCAGGGTTAGAACCCAGGACCTTTCGGTTACAAGGCGAGCTCGTAGAGCATTCAGTCATTGGGATCCGCATCCGGCTCCAACTTCTACCAATTCCTGATTTTGGCGCGATCACCAGCCAATGTCATCGGTGGCGAGCATTTGTCCTCACTCCCGACCGGATGGACCCCACTGGTCACGATTTCTCAGCAGAACTTCAGGCAACTTCATCCTGTAGCCAGTCACCGGTGAGCGTGAAAATAGTCTATAGGGATTTAATTTATTTCTAGTCTGACCACGGATTGATATCAGTTAAGGGGGATTACTGTGTACAGTATAAACAAAGACTTACTTTAATTTCAGCTAAATCAGATTTCGTGCAAAATCCACATAAAACATCCTATGAAAGAAAAACAAAAAGAGAATTAGCTATCTGTATAACTGAGAAAAATAATTACACAAAACTGGTATCACTAGTCTAATGTCTGTAGATGTAACCCCCCCCCGCTCTAGTATGTAATGGATCACAGGCAAAAGTCGTCCTATCAATCTAGACAACCAAATAGTACTACAAGTCCTTGAAAAATAAGTGCATTTCATAAGCTAGTACATAAAAACCAAACTCTTCTTGATTTCTTCTCGAAGTAACTGAAACCGAAGGAGCATTAGTGTTGAGTGATCGCAGAGCCCAGAGGAAAACTGCTTGAGCCCGGTCGCACACGACCTATTTGAAATGGTTTCTGGAGTTGCATATGTATTAAGATCTTATCGCCAGCTTCTGACCACCGGAAGGTTAATTAGGATGTACAATTTTCGAAGTCAACTTTTTCTAACCGCCCCCCACTCCACACAGTGGAGAGGCGGCACAGCCAGCTTGCTGGTCATTTGAAGGAAACCTCTTGCTGCTGTTATATCTTTATTTCTCCTGCAGACGCCCAATATAGTGCAAACGACTTACACTATAATGGTGACTGCATCTAGTCTTACTGCAATTCGAACGACCTATCTAACATGACAGAACCTGCAAAAATAGCATTTCCAGCTGATGTAGCTCGTTAGGTTACTGAGATATGCGAGGTGGCAAGTAGGCCATTACACAAGACAAATTCATCTCAAGTGAATTCAAGTCAGAATTCCAAATCCTCTATAAAGACTGTCACAAAAGTATGAAAAATTAAAATCCATTTTATAACAAAAACAAAACCATGTTCTCACCTCCAATAGACTAGGCAGTAAAAAGTGACCCTTGTACAATTCAGTAATTCTAGCCCATTCATTTTTTATGTGATTCCATGTCACCCGTCTAGCTTGAAGAGACGAAGACGAACAAGCAATTAGACCATGGACTCTATCTTGATCTTTCACTGGACCATTTGGATCTAAACAAAAGCGTAGAACATCTAACAATGGTGAAGAAGATGCATCACCGACATTATTATAGTGTGTTTCTCTCGCTGCACCAAGAGCCCAGAGAATATGATTGCGTTCTTCTGGAGAGTTTGTAGAACTGTAGGTCTAAAAACAAAAAAACACGATCAATACAAAAGGTTGAACAGAAGATGCAGTAAAGGATTTAATAAGAACTAGGAAGATACAAATACAACACAGTGAAGCGACATTTGCTAATACACCACTCATCACAGATAAAAAAAGAAATATTGTTAGTTTGGACGAGAATCACAGCCGCTATGACATCAATGTAATGAAAATAAGATATTCATTTATGTTGCAAAAACTAACACAACCGATAAACTTTATTTCTAATGTGGTAAATTGAAACCATAATTTATCCGTTTTCGAATAAACCAAAAAAATATGGTTTGCATTGATATTCTCCAAGTTGCAAGAACAAACTGATAACCAAACTCCTATTTTCAAGTATTGGTGAGCATCTTGATACTTGAATACCAATGAGATGCTCACTGGTGACTGGCCCTATTCAGGTAGGTAGTTACCTGGGGTTCCACTGGGAAGTCATGACCAGTAGGGTGCAGCAGGTCGGGTATGAGGACAAATACTCGCCGAAGACATTGGCTAGCGGTTGCGCTATATCGTGAATTGGCAGAAGTTAGAATTCATGGGCCGTTGGGTTGGGTCCCAGTGGCTTAATGGTCTAAGAGCTCGCCTTGTAACCAGAAGGTCCTGGGTTCGAACCATGGTGGGTGGATGCGTACTGATGAAGAGTCCCAAACTAGGACGAAACAGCTGTCCAGTACTCCCAGGTTTTCCAATGGTTCTCTAACCAATGTCAGCTCGTGATGAAATCCTCCTATTTTGGTTTAAACTATATAAGGATTTAATTCCACGTTGGTTTGTTCATCTGATATAGCACAACTTATTTCTCACAATTATATCAAGTTAGACAGGGTGTGAGTCAAATATGACTAAAATTATTTACTGCTTAAAAAAGGGCTGCAAGGTCTGCTGATTACAGATCCTTAGTGCGATGGAATTAGCAGCAGCTACATATGGAAACGGCTGAATGCTGAGCTACCTCATTATAATCACCACCACCAAGAAGTATGATAAGGATGCAGCAGTATCCCTTCAATGGAAGTCTACGAACACACTTCAGAACATTGTCCAGATCACTTTGAAAGTCAGTTCAGCTGATCCACACAGCAGCGTCACCTCTAGTCTAGTGTACAATGTTGCGTGTTTAGTGAACACTGAGACGACTCCTATAAGATAGCCGACTCAGACAACTTCCAGGAATGAAGTGAGGCTCTAATTAGGGAACTGGTGAGATTATTTGAGGTGTAGAGGACTGACTTTTCTGTGATCTTACGATATGATCTATACTGGGCCTATTTTTACAAGGTGCCAATCAGCCAGGCACACAATCTGTCACCAGCCTCGTCAAATATTTCGGTTGCTACTACAACATTTCGTAGATATTAGGAAACTGATTTACAATTCGTTCTGTCCAAGTTGTGTTCGGACTCCATCATATTCTGGACTACATTCACATTTATTGTAGGTTGACAGTCATTACACACTATGCGATTTTGTGGCTCCCTCTGAATGCGTCGGTGGCACAGTGGTTAGGAGTCTCGCCGACCATGCACATGGTCCGGGGTTTGATCCCCTGCCGACGCACACCTGATATCTATGGTCGGCCTGCAAAATTTGGGCTACCGATATCGCATGCTGAAAATTCCATACCTGTACCGAAAAATACGGTGTGGAATCAAGCTATCGGAATTATTTCTCAGGTAGGGGTATCCCTAAAAACGTTATCACAATATCTTCCAAGTCCAAATCATGCTTAGTAGAGCGACAGTATACAACCATCTTTCACCATTGTGTTAAACCAGCAACAGCGTAAAGGAATATTGCCTGATGTCATCAAGTCTTCAATCTACCGTTTACTCCACATTTAGAAAGTATGTGGAGGAGTAAGTGTAAATCTACCAAGTGGGGGAAAACTTATCGACCAAGTAAAAACATCTTATCTTCCAATAACATGCAGGCTAATTTAATTGCACACAGTTGTCAACACCATTAGGTGCTATCGAAAATAGCATATATCTAAGCAGCTGTATGTGTGGAAATGTGACGAATGAGACTCTCAGAGAGATATACACTAACCACATGTTAGTCTGGTCATTAGATATCAGATATATAATGCATGAATGCAGTTCCATTTTACACCTATGAAACCTGACCTCATCGATGTGGGTCATCCTATGTGATACTGTTTATTTGGTAATCGTTGTCTCCATAGGATTGCTTACATCCGCCGCTGATACCACAAAAGCAATTCTGAAGTCCGGCGGTGTATTTTGACACGGTAGAGATCATCTTTCTATAAGTGGCGATATCTGAGGACACTGGATTCAATGTTTTAGGCATGTTATCTTCCATAACGTCCATTGTTTGTTAGCTGTGGTATAGTTGGACAAAGTGGAGAGGTGGCCAGCTTATCGCGTGATGTCACGAAATGAATGGTAGTTTTGTAGAGTTGGTGCATCACAGTTCCCTTGGTGAGAACCAAGAGATCATGCTATTCAGTGACTCGAGATAGAGCTGAGAAGTGAAAGCAATGGCAAACATAGTGCAATCTCTTCATTGCTTTTCTTTCTGAAAGCAATACAAAGTAATGGACGTTCCTGATAAGTATGCTTATCTGTTTGCTTTTTTTTAGCATTCTATTCATCGTTAACTACTTTTATTCCTCTCTTCCTTGCTTTGTTTTACACAACAAGTAATAATGATGAAAGAGTCTAAGAGTTAATTCTAATCTGATTTTTTATTCAAAGCCTACAAATTCATAATATAATTAGCTCTTACTATAAACAGAAAAACCTTGCCATAAATAATTACTATATCTTACTATAAATGTTATTCTGAAGCGAGAAAAAAAAGCATGTTCAATCTCGTAGCTAGTTAGTTGGCACATTGATTACTTCAACTACTATCGGCTTTAGATGGAAAGACAAAAGCTTAATATCAGTAAAAAGTTTGAGCATTGTGGATTAGATCATATAAAGACAAAAGCTTATCAGTGAAACATATCTGGATTGAGAGTTTTAACCTCACAAAACATTATTAAAGATTTAGATTTTAGATTTATTATTTCAATACATGTTTACAAACAAATTGAAGTATAATCATAAATAAAACCTTATGTGTGATGAACAGATCAGATCTTGTATTCCTTTTTTTTAATTAGTAATCACGGGGTGTTCAGAAAAGCTCAGCAAAATGAAATCCTGTGACCAACCAATCAAATCCCTACAAACCAATGCTTGAATATCAATGAGATGCTCACTAGCGACTGGCCTTATTCAGGTAGGCAGTTACCTGGAGTTCGAGGGGGAAGTCACACATACTTGCCACCGATGACAGTGGTTAGTGCCAGTCGCGCCATATCATGAATCGGCAAAAGTTGGAATTCATGGGCTGGTCATTGAGCCGAGCTCACCTTGTAACAAGAAGGTCCTGGGTTTGAGTCCCGGTGGATACGTACTGATGAACAGTCCCAAACTGGGACGAAACAGTTGTCAAATACTCCCAGGTTTTCAAATGATTCTCTAACTGATGTCAGCTCATGATGAAATCCTGCAGAGAAGATAAGTAGTTGTTGCAAGCACTTCCAAGTGTTTAAAATTCAAGCTTAAAATATGGGATAATGATAGAGTAATAATGTTAGAAATCGCACTTTTATAACATCTAATGAGGAGTATACTAATTTTTCGATATAGAAATTATGGAGAAGTATATGAGAGGCATTCACCAGGAAATCTTTTGAGAGAAAATTTTGTATCCACTAAAACCTGTTCTGTTTGGGACTCTTCAGCAGTACGCACCCACCGGGGTTCGAACCCAGGACCTTCTGGTTACATAGCGAGCTCGTAGACCATTGAGCCACTGGGACCGCGAAGTAATTTGGAAACTACTCAAATACTACGGCGTACCCCAAATATTCATCAACCTTATTCAACAGCTGTACGACAACGGCACATGTCAAGTGATCCACAACGGAAAAATCAGCGAGGCATTTGGAGTAAACACAGGAGTCAGACAATGGTGCTTATTGTCACCAATGATATTCCTAATTGTGGTCGACTGGATTATGCGTCAGACAGTGGGAAACGAGAAGACAGGGATATCCTGGACCGACGTGAAGAACCTAGAAGACCTGGATTTCGCAGATGATTTATGTCTGATGTCACAAAATCGAAGACTTACAAGCGAAAACCAACAAACTGGTCGAAGAAGCAGCAAAGACAGGACTCCAGGTGAAAAGTACAGCAGAAGACAGAAGCAAGTGGAGATGTGTAGTTGAAGCCCTATGTTCCGCTAGGAACCCAAGGGAACAATAATAAAAAAACCTGTTTAAAACATTCATGGTCTGCTTCCATCTTACTTATGAAAGTATTCCTCAATAGAATTACTTCACAAATTCAACCCTATAAATTATAGTTCTCAATCCATATATATTCTAATGTCGAATTAAATCAATATAACCACTCATAATAGCATGCAATCGAGCACTTACCTTCATGAGATATGACACAACATCTGAAGGACCATAGCGTACAGCTATCTTGTAAAATGTTGAACGTAAATCATTTGGTATTTCTTTTACACCGGATCGATGATCTTCAAAGCACTGGTTGACCTGTTTAATAATATCAGCATCTTCTGCTTGACCACCAGCAACAGACAGAAGTAACGATCTCAGCAAACTAGAATTATGTGGCAGTGGCTCCAGGTTTTTAAGACCTGAAAAATGATATAACATATATGTATTAAGTATCTTTTTTTATTTCCTTCACGTTCCCCAATGGAACATAGGGCTTCAAGCTTGTGACTTGAAGTTTCTGTAGTAGCGCTTATTTTACAGGATATGGGTGCTAGCCTCATGTCCAACCTTCCCTCTTCACCAGCGTTATTTCTGACTTAGCGAGGTAAAGGAGTGCGTCGGCCGGGGATCGAACCCCGGACTATGTGCATGGTCGGTGAGCGTCCTGATTTAATATTATTCAAAAATAACTATACTATATATTGAGGACGAAAAATGTACAGTTCAATAGAGAAATTCGAGACTGTATGAAGCGTAATAACCGATAGAAATCACAAATTTACAAAAGCTGTTACAGTCAGATTCTATATACATTTTTTCTTCTTGATTATAGCTTGATTCCACACTGTATTTTTTGGTACAAGTATGGAATTTTCAGCATGTGATATCCGTAGCCCAAATTTTGCAGACTGACCATTGTTGATATCAAGGTGTGTGTCGGCAGGGGATCGAACCCCCTAACCATGTGTATGGTTGGCGAGAGTCCTAATCGCTGTGCCATTATCTAGCTTATTTCTACAACTGAGATATTATATTGGTGTTGTATTAATTCTTCTTTCCACTGACTTGTTAATTTCTTTTGCTGCTATGGAATTTGTTAACCTGGGACGGATACCTTAACTTCAGGTGCTAAAGTGCTTTATCTATTCAACCAAACTTATCTACATATCTTACTTATACTACACTTACTACTTAAATCAAAGGACTATCTGATTTTGACCCACAACAAATTTCATCTTGTTCCAGTTGTGTGAAGACGAATGCATGCCACCGAAGACATTGTTTAGTGCCAGTCGCGCTATATCGTGAATTGGCAGAAGTTGGAATCTATGGCCTGGTCACTGAGTCGGGTCCCAGCGGTTCAATGATCTACGAGCCCGCCTTTTGACCAGAAGGTCCTGGGTTCGAACCCTAGCGGTGGGTGCGTAATTCCGAAGAGTCCTAGAGCCTAGGACGAAACAGCTGTCCAATGCCCCCACGTTTTCCAATGGTTCTCTAACTGATGTCAGCTAACATGATGAAATTCCGTAACCAATCAGATCCCTAAAAAAAACCCAAAACTTGAACATTCAATTACATTTTTGCATCACTCATGCGTGTGGGCAGACTTGGAGCCAGGTGAAAACTACAGCAGAGAACCGAACGCAATGGAGACGCATGGCTGAAGCCCTATGTTCCTCTAGGAATTAAAGGAAATAATAATAATAAATAATAATCACTCATGCCTATTTCCAATATGAAAATCGATGGAAAACATCGCAGATTGTTAGAGTGCGATTCGGATAAACGATACATTAACAACTACACAAGAAACAAGTACTTTGCAGCAGAACATGCTGACAATCATGTATTATGTATCAAAGCATTTTTCAGAATAACATTATCATTATTATTACCTCACATTTAAGCTCTATCAAATAACTATGAGAATAACAAAAAGTTTTTTATTTCATCTTATAAAAAACTAAATATCACATAACTTGGACAATAAAAATAAAAACTTAAAAGAATACTATAGTTTTGAACAATAGAGCTTACCTAACTTATCTATTAATGGACGAACTAAACTCAACAAAAAACTATTGTAAAGTTTAGGGGAAATATCACTGGACTGAACAATTCGTCTAATATAGGCATTAAGGCCATCGCCAAGAACACCACGCCAAACAGCATATTCCTTTTCATTACTGAGTAACTTTGGTAACATTAGAAGCCAGTCATAGATACTGATGTAACCAGCCTTAGCCTGTAATGTAACAAAAGAAAGAAGCATATGCGTAAAATAAAGCAGACTGTTATTAATACTACTACTACTACTTAAAGAATGTGAATCAATTATGGGGAGAAAAACATTCGATGACGCCTAGACACAGTAACAGTAATAATGACTGCGATGAAATGTGATGCCACATATTTGCTTAAGGAATTTTGTCAGACTGTGAGCACCCACTCTGCCCGCAGCTCCAACCTTGTGTCTCCTCAGGTAAAACAAGAAGTCTTTTCAGAAGACTTTCGGCACCTACGTCTAAGTATAAAAATTCTACTATACCATATTTGGCGGCACGTGTGTTGTGTCATGTGATGAAAATAGTGTTAGGCGTGAACTAACTAACCTTCTTTGCACCACTAAATAAACCATTTCCTCCAGCCTTACAACATCAAACTTTATTGTTATTGTATTTCTTATATTCATAATCCTCTCAATCTTTTGTTTATTTTTTTCATAAGTGTGAACATCATTTAAGCTGTGTTACAACTGTTAATTTTGTATTTCCCCTCACTATACTATATCAACAGAACATGCTAAAATTTCCAAACTGAATCGACAATACTGCTTGAAACAAACTCACTATTATTATTATTATTATTATTATTATTATTATTATTATTATTATTATTACCATATTAAATATTCTCAATTCCTGCTTCGAATATTTTTGACTTTATATCGTAAACGTCGACAAGTTCCTGTGGTTAATTTTGTTTTAATTTTTAATTTAATTTATATTTTAAGTAAATCAGATGCAATATTGTTACAAATGCTGAGAATTCTATGCTGTTACAGGATCTTCATCATGAGCTGACATTGGTTAGAGAACCATTGGAAAACCAACTGGGAGTATTGTACTTTTGATTCGTCCAAGTTTGGGATTCTTCATCAGTACGCATCCACCCACCATGGTTCGAACCCAGGACCTTCTGGTTACAAGGCGAGCTCGTAGACCATTAAGCCACTGGGAACCGATCCAATGGCCCATGAATTCTAACTTCTGCCAATTCACGATATAGTGCGACCCCTAGCCAATGTCTTCGGCGAGTATTTGTCCTCACACCCGACCTGCTGCACCCTACTGGTCACGACTTCTCACTAGAACCCCAGGTAACTACCTACCTGAATAGGGCAAGTCGCTAGTGAGCTAGTGTGAGGACAAATACTCGCCGAAGACATTGGCTAAGGGTTGTGCTATGTCGTGAATTGGCAGAAGTTAGGATTCATGGGCCATTGGATCGGGTCCCGGTGGCTTAATGGTCTACGAGCTCGCCTGGTAACCAGAAGGTCCTGAGTTCGAATCCCGGTGGGTGAGTACTACTGAAGAGTCCAAAACTAGGACAAAACAGCCGTCCAGTACTCCCAGGTTTCCCAATGGTTCTCTAACCAATGTCAGCTCATGATGAAAATCCTGTAACTAATCAAATCCCTACAAACCAACACTTGAATTCTGTTCTGTATTATAAGTACTGTTTTTGGAATAAAGTAGATTATTATTATTATTATTATTACAGTTCGATAGAAAATATACTTTCATCAGGGAATGATTGCACAGTTTGGTCTGTTATTATTATGATCAAAATAAAAACAAGTGAACAAATATAAATACATAGAGTTATGTACTACTGACTGATTGACATAAGTAGTCGGACACCACTCACATCCAATCAGTAGTGCTTGTTTACCAGGCGACAGTTTTGCCCAAGCTCATCATTGGTGCACCCAGTATAACTCAGTTCAAACCACCCGAATAGTAGATGTTTACAAGGTCAGTTAACTTTTGATTGCTAGAATTTATTCTGTGATATTTCAAATTTTCAACGCTTTGTTTTTCTGAATTTTATAACACCTAAACGATTGTTTCTCACTAACTCACTTGCTGTTACTTAATAATAAGTCTATTCGATTCAATGGGTGATGAAAACATTACATTATGCAGAAGGACAAAAATAAGATGAAACCGTAGTTGATTTATATGTTGCCTCATTCATAATTCCGTATAGGCTGACATAATGTGGTGAGTGCTACTTATGATCAAATATAAGTAGTATATCAGTAAACGAATTCAGAAAAGTAAAAATATGTTTTGGACACTGGAAAAAGCAATTGAAGCATAGAACTGTGAAAAGAACGTTACAACACTGTGCAGAATCCAACAAACTATCGAATGTAGTGATATTTGACCAATTCTCAAATGATGTGCCAAATTCACGTCCTAATAAACATTGCCTTCGAGTCTCATCGATCTTTTCTTCTTTACAATAACACATGCTATTCAAGCCACAGTTTACCAGTCAGTAAAGAGATTTAACAAGTAAAGTATTTGTTTGATGTATTCAAGTGTAAATTTTCTTTAACAACGTATAGGATTTGTATCTTCGAATGTTGTTAATGGTGAATCATTGTAAATTAGTAAAAGCGCTTACGTGTTGATATCCTCTCTCAGAGATTCACTATTTTTTAAACCACCTCATTAACAGGACTAGGAAAAGCTAGGTTTATAACGACTCAATTTGTACATTTCTACTCAATGTCCATTTATACTTAGATATATGCCTACTATGACCAACACTGTTTGTAGTGTTGACTTCAAAAACAAATAAAGTACAATGTAGGTGATCCTGGTGTCTGAAGACAATTATATCCAATGAATTTAATCACCATAATACATTGATTTCAATTTTTTACTTATTAGTATTCTACATGGGATACCACCAACTAACTTGAGGACTTGCCTCAACGACACTCGACTTTCACTCAGTGAGTCTTGAGTTCAAAAAATCCCGCTCCACCTATTTCATCAGCCTGAGCAACTGACTGGTATCACCAGCCTTCATGCAATAAATGTTGCACATAGCCTGAAACATGAAAGACCTGTTTCGAGAGTAGAGTTTAAACAACAACTTTAGGATACTTTAAAGGAAGACAGTGAAATTAGTCCATAAACAATAATATGACTTCTGGTATATCACACTTTGTAAAACGCTGCTCAAGAAAAAATTACTTTCTACAGACAACATCAAACACAGAACCAAATTTCAATAAAATAGACATCTAAAACAAACGATAATGAAAGGATAACAAACAAAATGAGACATGAAAGACTTGTTAAAGATCTTCGTGAAACCTCTATTCCATTCATTCCATTATGTTCTAAATATAACATAGGGCTTCAAGCTTCAGCTTTGAAATTTTAGTAGCAGGGGTGTTTTTCTTACGGGATGCAGTTGCCAGCTTCATGTTCAGCCTTTCCTTTTTACAGGGCTTACCACTGGTTAAGCGGGATTTAGGAGTCAGTCAGTCAGCCGACAAACGAATCCAGACCGCTGAACCGCCAATGCCATTAAAACAATCTAATCCCCTTACTAGTAACACTACTCAAACTTCTGTTCTTCGAAGAATTTAAATTTATGGATTACTTTTACATTTTCACCTTAGTTATTATTACCATTACTTTTGTGGAACACATCTTAGTATCGATGTCGTATAAGAATTCTTATGTGTTTGAAATAGTGTTGAGATAAAATAATCGCCAAATCGTTTCTCTTTAATTGACCGAAAAGATGTTCAGAGCTATACACTATTTTGTTACATCCAAATATTCAAGTATTGGTTTGGTAGGGATTTTTTGTTTGATTGCATGGAGGATTTCATCATGAGCTATGAAGCCGTGACCAGTAGGGTACAGCAGGTTGAAGATGAGGCAGTAACTCATCGAAGAAGACATTGCGAAATGGTCGCGCTATGTCATGAATTGGCAGAAGTTAGAATTCAAGGACCACTGGATCGAGTCCCAGTGGCTCAATGGTCTACGAGCTCACCTTGTAACCAGAAGGTCCTGGGTTCGAACAACGGCGGCTGCGTACTGATGAAGAGTCCCAAACTAGGACGGAACAGCTGTCCATTACTCCCAGTTTTTCCAGTGGTTCTCTAACTGATGTCAGTTCATGATGAAATCCTCCATGCAACATCCAAATATCACAGGTTGCAAGTAAGTGATAGGAATCTAATGAAATAGAAATAAATCTTGTCGACACAGCGTCATTCCTCGTCTCTAATTAGCAGATACCAGTTACTAAACTGACACATTTCAGTCATTTACTTACTCAAGCCCTTAATTGTTTATTATACATGTGATAGCTGAAATTTACTGAAACCCCTAAAACAAAACACGACTTTTGAAAAAATAGGATCACTTTTTACATAAGTGAGATTAATTGATCCATTCCTACGGTTGCCAGTGGTTAAAGTTGACTCGTATATTTGCCATTTATCTCGGAATATGTATTTCATGTGCACTATAAATAATAAATTCCCAAAAGTAGATTCTCTTCATTATTAGTGTTACATTACTGTTCTCTTGGGTTCCAGCTGGAACATAGGGCTTTGATAGCCCGTCTCCACTTTGTTATATTTCCTGCTGTCCTCTTCGTCTGGTTTCACGACTGCCCATAATCTCTCATCTCCTCCTCGCCAAACGATCTCCTGCATGTCACCTTCGCACCCAATCGGGTTCCACCGGAGCGATGGACTGGTGCGCGATTTCATTCGACAGTCTTCTCAACGTGTGCCTGATCAATGCATTTCCATTTTCTCTTACGTTTTTGTTGAGCAATAGGTTCTTGGTCAGTTTGTTCCCAGAGTCTCTTGTTGCTAATTATTTCTGGCCATCTGATCTTCAATATGGGACTAGCAAAGGTAGCCACTGATAAAGCTTGCAGTAGCCTGTCGGAAATGCTTTCCGTGACGCGTCGACTTTGTGAACCATATGGAAGAAATGGCTGAATTAACATTGGTTTTGAAAATCAGAATTTTGTTCTTTATATATGCTAAGTGCAGATTTCCAAACTGATTTCAGAGTGATGAAGGTTTGGTTACAGGATTTCATCATGAGCTGACATTGGTTAGAGAACCATTGGAAAACCTGGGAGTACTGGACAGCTGTTTCATCATAGTTTTATTATTATTTTGATTACAGCTTGATGCCACACCGTATTTTTAGGTATAGGTATGGAATTTCCAGCATGGATATCGGTAGCCCAAATTTTGCAGGCCAACCATAGATATCGGGTGTGCGCCGGCATGGGGTCGAACCCCGGACCATGTGCACGGTCGGCAAGAGTCCTAACCACTGTGCCACTGACGCACCATCATCAGTACGCATCCACCGGGATTCAAACCTAGGACCTTCTGGTTACAAGGCGAGCTCGTAAACCATGATGAAATCCTGTAACCAATCAATCAAATCCCTACAAACCAACATTTGAATATTGATGAAGGTTTGTCTTGTCTCTCCGATTTTGGCTTTGACATCTTCATTTGTTCCACATATAAGCAGATTCTTACTATCCAACAATTCGATGATATAAGCACTGAAACACTGGCTTCTCTCATATTATTTTTTTTGTAAAAAAAAAAAACACTGCCACTATGTCATGGTAGTGTATAGGACGACTTTCCTGGCACATTTTATGAATGAATGATTGTAGAATTGTACTTCGAGTAAACATTAAGTTCTACTGACAACAGTCATTCTGGGATATTTAGTAGATCGATATCCCGACATTCCTGAACTGAAATCTCAGAGCAGGACTTTGCACAAAAGCACAGCAGTGCAAGTTGCCTCAACTTGTAGAGAACATATTAAGGTAGGGAAGCAAACAAAGCAAATAAATGCAAAGGTACAGGAGAAAGAATAATTGTACAGAGAATAATGAGAAGTTAATAATAATAATAATAATAATAATTTGCTTTATTCCAAAACAGTACTTGTGATACAGAATGGAATTCTCAGCATTTTTTACTACAGTATTGCATCCAGTTAGTACATTATCAATAAATAGAATTCTACATAGATTAAGGAAATCTCAGTTCATTATGACAACAACATATTGGCATGTCAGTAGCAAAGCCAAAGTTGAACAGTGTTTGAAGGTGTTAGAAAAGTATGTGCTATCATATTTACTGGCGTAAGCGGAAGAAAGAAACAAAGCAGCACATAACAGGAAAAAGAAGAGAGAGAGAAAAGGAAAAGCAAGAAAGAAAATGATGTACCTATAAATGATATGAGTTGGAAAGACGAGGTCCAGTTGTTCTACTGACTATTTAATGAGTTATAGGTGTCACGCCTAATGCTTTCTTTATCGCACAGAACACGAGCTAAGTAGGGTATGGTTGAGTTTTTTTACTTGCTGGTGCGAGCATATAGTTTTCTATATAGGCTTCTGGTTTTGCCTGATGAGATGCAAGGGGAGAGTTGGGAGTGAAGAGGGTGGTGTGAGTTAGATAAAATGGAAATGAAACTAGATCACAAAAGACGAATGTATTTGCGCAATTAAGAACGATCTTGAGTCATGTGAACAACACTCTCTAGACACTGGTTCTTAGTGACTTAATGAAACCCGGTTAAATAGTCTGTTATTCCCTACACGACTTAAAGTAATAGTTAAATACTTCAAGAATTGATACTATGCTTTGATTTTACCATCCCTGACTCTTTTCCCACCTAACCAGATGTCACGTAACATTGTTCGACGAGGAAGACGATGGTTCGGCATGCGTGACACAAGCCTAGCCATCTCAATCTGCGTAGCTTAACAACCTCATTGATTGACCTATCCTCCTTACCTAACGATCTACGCCTAACCTCAGTATTACTCACCATATTCTCCCATTTAACAGAGGAGATAACATTCCTAAAGCTTTTAGAAGATATTTAGCTATAATTCGTATACTGTAACACAGGCATTTTTCGCTTTTCTTCATTATAATCTAGACACATTACCTATATAGCACAATAATGCTTTTATTAAAATATAAGAACAGAACTTGGACACTGTGGTAGGGTAAAAATTCTCTATGATGGAGTAATGCTTTCAGTCATTCAGTTTGAAATTCTATATAAATGAAAAAGTACACTGTCTTAAAATCATTTGAATTTCTAAACAAAACAAAAAAGGAAGACGACTTACTAGTGCAAATCCATCGTTAATGAACATAAAACGACTAGAAGTTGTCCACTGACCCAATTTCATATCATCAATTAAAGTATTCATGTGTTTTGCATCATATCGTATATGATAAAATCCTGTTGCATCTGCATTCGCTCGTATTACACAATCATCAAGATTGATGCTTTTGATAGGCCAATTAAGCGGGATATCAACTTCTTCTGAGGCAGATTTTAAAATATGCTTGAATACAAGTGAATGCTTTCCATTTTTAGTAGAACAGGTGAGTGATATTGGTACAGGCCAAAGTTTGCCATCGTCTGTTGAATCTATTTAAGAAAAAAAATTAAAAAATTATAATGGCAATCTTAATAATGCAAAAAAAAATGGTTTGAAGAATTTATTCAGTATGTGTTTTATACAATTCATACATAAAATAACGAAGATTATATTTTTCTTAAACTGTTTTTTACATACCTACAGATGACAACTAAACTACATTTTAATAGACTCTTTCATTTGTTGTACATACGCTTGTGGTGAGAGCTGTCTGCTAGCCAAATTGGTAGACAGTCATTTACGTCAATGTTTATGTCCCAAATATTAGTCATGTGAAAACAAGATCAAAGACTGACTCAACAAACTTTGCGTAGGCGGATATAATTTGCAGATAGATGATCTGACATTTAAGAAGAAACAGTCACAAAAAGATGAAAGATTAACTTTAAGTGAGAAACAACCAACCAGAAGGCTGCGTTTTTCTGTTAACAATAATCTATAATAATGCACGTGAAAATCTATAAATATCTGTTGATTTCGTAAACAAACGATCTATTGCCTGACTCTTGCCTTCTGTCGTTACACGCTGACGAGATCTGTTAAGTGATATCACATGTCAGTTGGCCCCTCAAATGGAATCCGTATAGGAAACAACGACGAGTAGGGCGTCTGAATGTGATATGAACGAGATCGTATGAGGAAGAGATGAAAGCTTCTGGGTAGTCGTGGAGCTAGCTATAAAGGACTGCAGAAAACAGGATGAAATGCAGATGTGCTACTGAAGCCCTAGGTTCTGTTCGGAACCCAACGGACCTAAGATAATTATTATTCAAGAAAAAGCAGTTTGACGAATATTTACCATTGAATTTAATGAACGCAGTAATCTATTACTCGCCACTTTATGAATAACAAATGGATATTTAATATTGGACGTTGTAAGCGTAATCTCCGAAAACGTGTAGCTGAACACTATCCAGTCTGGTTAATGAAAGGCGAACGTAGAACTGCGAAGTCGTCTATTTGTGATCACCTGTTAGAGTCAGGTCATTTAGCCCCATGTGATTCATCTTTCAAAGTTATCTACATGGCAAAATAGAATCGATCCAAAAGTTTACGTTTTCTTCACTTATGCATAGCCGAAGCTTTAGCTATACATGAACAGAAACCTAAATTATGTGTTCAAAAACGTTTTGTCAAACCGCTTTCTTTACCTTGGTCATAGTAATATTCTTTCTAGTTTTTACTTTATTTTACCAATTGAATTCTTTCCACTTCACTTCACATCTTCATTCTTATCGTCATCGTACTCTTATTTTTTAAAATGTTTAGACAACACTTGACATTTTTAAAACATTTTTGATTTCAATTCACTTATAAAACAATCTTTGATAATTTTGTAATTTATCCACTTCAACTCTACCCCTTATAACATTTTAATTATCGTTATTCTTATCACATATATGTATATTGACTGAGCAATTATTTAGTGCCACTTAATAACCTTTTCTGTAATATAAATACGACTGTACAGCTTGAAAATGAAGTCGTTGAAAAGAAATTTCTTCGCTGAACAAAAACTGTATTTTCACTTATGGATATTTAATATCTTAATTACTTTATCTTAGTGGCCTGCTTAAATCACTGAGCTACCGGAATTGCTTCCCCCAAAATGATCAATTCCATCTGGATTTATCATCGTTTTAATCGTCCAGTTATATCAAATGACCTAAACATGACCTTGCGCGCTGATTTAACTTGCTTCCAAGTAAACGCTGTGCAATTCTTCAGCGGAATGAAGATACACTTCACATTCTGTATGAAGAAAAAAGTATTTTGCAACTGAATACACTGAAAATTTTTGTACCATATGTTCGCATATTGTCTGATATAAAGCTTTATTATTATATTATTATTACTGGAGTGAAAATCTCTACATCTGTGCTTAATAATACATTTGAAGGAATGTCTTTGCTAGAATCCTAATATTGATATGATGCAAAATTGACTGCATTGGATTAGATTCATTTATGCTCTGCCTTCTTCTTTACCTTGCTGGCAATGTTTATTATTATCATTATTTTACTTTGTCTTCCTCTGTGTATTTTTGCACTCTGCATTATATCCGTATCTTTGTTCCATCTTTTCATTGACTCCTCTACTTTATGTGAAGATTATGAAGAATGGTAATCAGAACTATCACTCAGTAATATAAGGCTATCTGATATTCCCACTATAACGACACTTAAGTTTTATTATAGCTTGATTCCACACAGTATTTCGGCACACACAGTATTTTCAGCATGCGATATCGGTAGCCCAAATTTAGCAGGCCGACTACTGATATCAGGTGTGCGTCGGCAGGGGATCAAACCCTGGACCGTGTGTATGGTGGGTGAGCGTCCCAACCACTGTGCCACCGATGCACAATTCACTCTGATTCATACATCAAAAGTATTACTGCACTGTAAGAACACTTGAGGCGATTTCTTAAGACAATGAAAAATGCATCAAACTAGTCGCTGAATGATAAATAATATGGCTGTTCTATGGGGCGAATATTGATTGAATATGCCTTGTTGTTTACTAAGACAAACCACTAGACCACCTTGCAAAGCATGGTGTACGTTTCGCTCTGATGTTAAATAACAAAAGGTAATAATTATGTTGGGTTTTACGCACGTTGATACTCACATCAGCAAGATGAACCTATACACTCAGAGGAATTTAAGTTTTTTTCTCGAACCTTCATCAAACTGAGTCATTTAATAATATGAAGTCATACTTTAGATTTGTAACCAACTAATTGAGTTTCAATACAGAACTTTGCGCAGAAGTGCAGCATTTCTACTTACCAGACTCCATGTGGCACACAAAGGAAGACAAAAGAGAGACAAAAAAGAGGTTCAAAAAACCGACAATAAGCAGAGAAAGAATTATAAACGTGGTAAAACAATAGGGATGAATGGATTTAACAGCTCACAAAGGGTGAATGCATCTGCACCATTGAGAAAGATTCGAGCCATACCATTAATCATCTTCAGTCCTTTGACTATTAGAATTCTGGAGCCCCCCACCAGGAAGTTTACACCTTCCTAAGTGACTCAAACTAACAGTCAAAGATTACTCAGACGGATTCCAAGTTTTGGCTTATCCACTACTAGCTGTTTTACAACCTGACTATATGTCAGCTAACATTGCTCGTCAAGGAAGGCGACAGTTAGACGTGAGTAACACGTGCTGGCCATCTCAATTAGTATAACTTCACAACCTCATCGATTGACTTACTCTCCCTGTCTAAATTCAGCATAGAACTTGGCACTGAAGTGCAGAAGTTCGAGTTGCCACGTTCCAAAGAGCACACAAAGGTAGACAGGAAAATGAGTGAAGAGAATCAATAGAGTTTTGACAAGTATAAGAGTGAAACAGAATCAGTAATGATAGAAAGGAATAGGAAAGATTACAGAGACTGAATACATCTGCGTAAGCCATTGACAACGATTTTGAACCATGTCACCTATTGTCTCCAGCCATTGATTCTTAGAGTCCCGAGGGCGGGCCACAACCCGGAAGTCTGCATCTCCCTACCTGACTCAGTTTAACTGTCAAGGATTTCATGGATTGATGAGGCCATGTTTTTGTTTGGCCACCACTTACTCTTTTCCAACCTGCACCTATATCAGCTAGTAATGCCCATCGGGGGAGGGGGCGACTGTTAGGCATGCGCAGCACGTGACCTAGCCATCTCAATCTATGTAACTTTATAGCCTCGTCGATTGATTTTTCCTCTTTTCCCAACACTCTACGCCTAACGTCAACATTACTTACCTTATTATACCACCTAACGTGAGAAAGAGATCGTAGACATTTATGATCAAAAACAGTCAACCTTTTCATGTCTTCACTTACTCTCCCAACCTAACACCTTACGTCTAATATCTTCAATATTGCTCACCCTATTATATCGCCTAACACGGGATATACAATGCAGAAAGCTAGCCTTTTTGTGTCTTCCAAGAACACATTCTAATAACTTCCATTGTGTTTTTAGGTGTACTACAGAGTACAAACCATTTAAAAAGAACCGTCAAAATACAAATACCACATACTATAGTGTACACTGGACTCCTGTATATTATTAACGAATCAGGCTTCATACAGCTATTTATTGTAAACTACGTAGACAGAGTAGAAATCTAGACAAAGCAAGAGTATCTAAACAGCTATTGCTTTTCACACCAAAACTGTTTTCTCTGTTTATGCTATAGTAACGAATAGAAAATCACCGAGTATGACACACCAGCGTTGGGTTTTTTTAAAAAAACTTGATATAACCTAAATACCTAGTCCTACTTTAGAGACGCAATATATATGTCGGAAATGTGTTTAGATTGTCTTAAGGTCTTACGAGAATTTAAATTTAACCTACCGCCTTAACAGACAAACATAGAATTGGAAAACTAATATTGCTTTTGAAGACAAAACAAGTTTTATAATTCAATTAAACCACAGATATATTTGTGGTTTGTGTGTACTGCTCAGCAGTTCGCTCCGTCCTTCTCTATGGCTCTGAAACATGGCCAATACGAGTTGAAGACATGAAAAGGTTGACTGTATTTCATCATAAATGTCTACCATCTCTTTCTCACGTTAGGTGGTATAATAAGGTAAATAATGTTGACGTTAGACGTAGAATGTTGAGCAAAGAGGGAAAATCAATCGAATAGGCTATACAATTCACATAGATTGAGATGGCTAGGTCACGTGCTGCGCATGCCTAACAGTCGCCCCCTCCCCCGATGGGCATTACTAGCTGATATAGGTGCAGGTTGGAAAAGAGTAAGTGGTGGCCAAACAAAAACATGGCCTCATCAATCCATGAAATCCTTGACAGTTAAACTGAGTCAGGTAGGGAGATGCAGACTTCCGGGTTGTGGCCCGCCCTCGGGACTCTAAGAATCAATGGCTGGAGACAATAGGTGACATGGTTCAAAATCGTTGTCAATGGAGCAGATGTATTCGGTCTCTGTAATCTTTCCTATTCCTTTCTACCATTACTCATTCTGTTTCACTCTTATACTTGTCAAAACTCTATTGATTCTCTTCACTCATTTTCCTGTCTACCTTTGTGTGCTCTTTGGAACGTGGCAACTCGAACTGCTGCACTTCGGTGCCAAGTTCTATGTTGAATCCAGCCAGACAGATATATTTCAGTGAGCAGTTTTCTATTTTAAGTGTGACAGAAAAGATTAGCGAAAGATTACCTACAGATATCCAAGTGATGAAAACGCAGTCTACACTGACTTTACTACTGCGTAACACACTAGTTTAAATTCCAACACCACCTTGTCCTGGATTCTACTTCTGATTTATGCTTATTTATCTTCTGATTGTTTTCTTTTGTGTTCTCTGTGTGGAAGATAGGGATTCAAGCTTGAGTCTTGAAGATTCACTAGCAGTGGTGTTGTTAGTCTCACACCCGACCTTCCCTCTTTACCTGCCTTTGTACCGGCTAAGCGAGGTTTAGAAGTGCGTTGGCCGGGATTTGAACCTCCCGACCACGTGTGGCATGCATGGTTGGCGAGCATTCTACCAATGAACCACCGAAGCACCATATGGCAGCAGTATGAATGTGTGTAACGAAAACAAATCTTCACAACAGTATTCTTAACACTTTAAAGAAGCTTGCTCGTGAAAAGATTAATTATTTTTTACTTTATTCTTTTGATTACAGCTAGATGCCACACCGCATTTTTAGGTACAGGTATGGAATTTCCGGCATGTGATATCGGTAGCCCAAATTTTGCAGGCCGACCATAGATATCGGGTGTGCGCCGGCAGGCGGTCGAACCCCGGACCATGTGCATGGTTGGCGAGAGTTCTAACCACTGTGCCACCGACGCACACATGATCTTAGCTCAGAGAGCTCAGAGAGATCAATGTTAATCCGGGCTGGAAAGAAAATGGAAACAATTTCAACAAATTCATTTGGTAATGCTAAAGCTTATGATCGACGCGGACTTAAAATTACTTTGAAGTGAAAAGAAACAACATTTTAGATGACAAACACTGTCGCGCCACAAAATGGGTCTCACATAATCCTCACTTGTTCACATGTTGTACTAATGACTCAAAATATTAACAAATAATTTATAAAATGCTAGGAAGGCTGAGACAAAACACTGAAGTATAATATATAAAGAAAAGGCACTGAAACATACCCTTTGTAAATTCCGATCGGAGTTTATACTGTTCCTGTGATAACTTCACTTTCAAATGATTGTTAATCACGCTTAACGGTGAAACAGATACAACTGGGAAGCCAACGTTACGAGTCCATGGACGCATTATACTTCCTACATCTATACCTGAAGATGAACTAAGAGCAACCCAAAGATCTTCTGTTACAGCATTTCCGTAAGCATGCTTTTTAAGATACAGCGACAAACCGGAACGGAATGCTTCATCACCTAGAAATGCATGAAGCATATGTATTAGACTAGCTCCTTTGCAGTAAGATATGTGATCGAAAATTTCATTAATTTCATCTGGATTTGAAACTTCTACCTGGAAAGGAATTACAGGAAAAAAAACGGAAGAATTAATAAACATCACAAGCAATATATTATCATTATTCTCCTGCATTGTGCGTCGGTGGTATAGTGGTTAGGACGCTCGCCGACCATGCACATGGTCCGCGGTTCTATCCCCGGTCGACGCGCTCCTTTACCTCACTGAACTGGAAATAATGCTGGTGAAGAGGAAAGGTTGGGCATGAGGCTAGCAACCCCATCCTGTTAAATAAACACTGCCACAGAAACTTCAAGCCACTAGCTTGAAGCCCTATGTTCCACTGGGGAACGTGAAGGAAAAAAAATTCTCCTGCATTACAGGTGGAATATAGGGCTTCAACAACACATCTCCACTTTCTTCTATTTTCCGCCGTTCTCTTCAGCTGGGTCCACGATTGCCCAAACTCTCTCATCTCTTCCTCAAACGGTCTCCTCCATTTCACCCTTGCACCGGCTACCTACTCGTCGCTTTCCGTTTGGATTCCACTGGAGGGCTTAGCGCGCAGTCATTTGACGGTTTCCTCAATGTATATCTGATCCACCTCCATTTTCTCCGACATATTTGTTGACCGACCGGCTCTCGGCTGGTTTGTTCCCAGCAAGATTTTCATGTTGCTAATTGTGTGACTGACCATTTGATCTTCAGTATGGAGCCAGCTTAGGTGACAGCTGTTGATAAAAGTCTTCAACAAGCTGTTGGAAATCCTTTTCGTGACACGCTGTCCAAGTTTCTGACCCGTATAGAAGGACCAACTTGACATTGATGTTGAAAATCCTAATCTTGTTCCTAATGCTGAGAGTAGAAAATTTCTAAACTGGTTTCAGGTTGATGAAGGCGTATCTTGCTTTTCCGATTCTGGTCTGCTTTGACATCCTCATCCGTTTCACCTGTAGTTTAAACGATGCTTCCTAGATAAGTGAAGGAAATAACCTCTGTCAAATCTCTCCCGTTGATGGTGATTGGTGCTGGTTGTTGTTGTTGCTGTTTGTTGGCTGTCTTCACCACCTCTGTCTTCTCTATGTTCGCCTGGAGTCCTGTTTTCACTGCTTCTTCAGATAGTTTGTTCATTTCTACCTGCAATTCTTCGAGTTTGTGTGACATTAGACATAAATCATCCACACGCGAAATCCAGATCTTCTAGTCTTCTTATCGGTGGTCCAGCGTATTCCTGACTCCTCGCTCCCAACAGTCTGGCGCATAATCCATTGCACCACAATTAAAAACATCGTCAGTGATAATAGGCAGCCAGCCTTGTCTTACCCCTCCATTCACTTCGAACACCTCACTGAGTTTTCCGTTGTGGATCACTTGGCACGTGGCATTGTCATATAGACAGCTGTTGAATGAGGTTGGTAAAGACTTGAGCACTGCACGCCGTAGTGTTTAAGTCGTTTCCAAATTACTTCTCCGTCAACGCTGTCGAAGGTCTTTCCGAAGTCAATGAAGTTAAAGTACGGGTTTGACTGGCATTCTATGCTTTGTTCGAAGACTATGAGTAGAGTTGCAATTACAAGCAATATATATATATATATATATATATCAGAAATATTATAGACCCTGAAACATTTATTCTTCCTTGTAACTCCTGCTGCACGAAATACTGGCTTGTTATTAGGGTACACTCTCCTCGACTTACAGTATGCAGATGATATAGTTCTTCTAGATGAAGACGCTGACAAAATTCAGCCTTTTGTATACTTTGAGCGGAAATCTAAGTATGTGACTTCTCCGTGCCAAATGTAAGATAACGCTGAGGGAGTGGTTTACACCGACTCCTAGTTTAAGGATATGGAGTGAAATGGTAGAGCGTGTTGACCACTTCACTTAGTTGAGAAGCTGCATTAGCCCTAATGGGCAGAATGCTGAAACGGATACAAACACCTCATGTGGCATTTGCGTTATCTTTGGCATAGACGTGATATCCGGCTATCAGTCAGAAGGCGTGTGTGCCGCACAGCAGCTAGTCCCGTTCTTTTCACAGCTAAGATTTAACCGTTGAAAGTGGGTGATATAAACAGACTGGCTGTCTTTGACCACATTTTATCTCTTATGTAAGATGGTAATTATATGGTCAGTGATATTGAGGCCAGACGTAGACTGTTAGGTAGAAAAATAAAGTTAGTTGATTAGGTTGTGAAGCTGAGACTGAGATATGTGATTCACGCCAAACCATCTCATTACTCCTCTAATAATGTTTTGTGGCACAAAATTAGGCTGGAAAAGAGCTGAGGATGGTGAAATCATAAAATGACGTCAGTCTATGAAGTCTATGGCCATTGGTTTAAGCCACGTAGGGACTTGCAGACAGTCTCGCTGGGGTCCTCGACACGCTAACAGCCAATAGCTGGAGACCATCGGTGATACAGATCCAAATCGTTCCTAATGACTCAGATACATTCAGTGTATTTTCGTCCAGATCCACTAACTTCTCATTATTCTTCATACAACCATTCTTTCTCCCGTAAATTTGTGTTCATTATGGTTTCTTTGCATTACTTTTCCTCTATCTTAATGTATACTTCATAAGTTATGGCGAATTGAACAGCTGCACCTTTTTGCAAAGTTCCACGTTGAAAAATTAGTTCTTTTCATTTAAAAATATCGAATAATAATAATATATTTAGGAGATTCATGAGATATTTCCAAAAAATCTACCTCTTAGAAATGAATCTCATGCTCACTAGTGACTAGCTATAGGATAAAGTTGAGTGGAGTTCTTGTGAGAAGTTGTGACCACTGGAATCCATCGGGTTGGATATGAGAACAAATAGTCACCGATGACACTAGCTGGCAGTGGCACTAAAACCGTGAATTGACAGAAGTTAAAATTCATGGGCAATTGGATTCCGACCCAAGTGGCTAGATGGTTAACAAACTTGACCTCGTAATCCAATGATCTAAGGTTCAATCCCCAGTAGGGTCATGGGTACGTAGTGATGAGGAGTCCCAGACTAGGATGAGACAGTTGTCCAGTACTCCCTTGTTTCCAATGGTCTTCTAAATGACATCAATAAGTAGTCAAACTTGAAGAAACAACTTGGCTAATTTCACAAATATAAGCATGTAGAACTCACATATATTCTGTCACCACGCATAAAAAATGAGCTCAAATTTCTAAATTCGTAGATCAAACACCACTGCATCTGAGTTAGGGGCTAATTAATGCTATACTGGAAATTCTTTTTCTTTCATAAAACTCCTTAAAACAAAATGGTCCTGCCAAACATCCTAACCATCCGTTCCAAAGGTTAACAGAAACCCTTCCATCGCAGTAACAGACAACAGTCAGTGTCTTTTTTTCAAGATTATATCTGTTTACAGGACAGAAACTCCACAACAAGTACTGACAGATGCCAATGCCCTTTCTTCTTCCCTTATTATGCTGATTTATTACCGCTATTGATTATAATAAAAGACTTCCCGCCAACACAGCGCTTTCACATTCCTGTTAGTCAGTTTTATTATAGTTTTCTTTATAAAAATGGTTGTGAGTATCTTAGTTCCCGAGTAACAAATTTGTGGTTTGAGTGGAATTTTGCGGAAAAAAAGTAGTTATTAGGAATAAGGTTTTTTTTCCTTCACGTTCCCAGTGGAACATAGGGCTCCAAACTAGTGGCTTGAAGTTTCTGTAGCAGCGTTTATTTTACAGGATGGGGTTGCTAGCCTCATGCCCAACCTTTCCTCTTTACCAGCTTTATTTCTGGCCCAGCGAGGTAAAGGAGTGCGTCGGCAGGGGATAGAACCGCGGACCATGTGCATGGTCGGCGAGTGTCCTAACCGCTATACCACCGACGCACTTTTAGGAATAAGGTAACACAAAAATGACTCGAATAAACACTCGAATAAGCATAACATCATACAATATACTAAGGGCTTACTTCAATTGGATGTGAATTGGACAACGCGTCTAAAAGTAGTGCATCAGCTACTCGGTGATACGAAAAACGTGTCTGCAAAGTGAAATAAAGAAGATGATGATGAAAGCCTTAAAAGACTATTTCGTCCATCAAATAGCTATAAACATCGGAATAAATGACAACAGAACAATGCAGCAACTTACTCTCATAAACAGTACACTAGGCTTTGAAATAAACTAAACTCTCTAAATTAGAAATCAGTGGTTGGACATGATGAATAGTACAGTACACAGTTGATTCAAGTTAAAATTTATTCACCGTTTCTACTAGTCTTTTACAATTGAATTCTGTAATATTTATCCCCTTTAATATTGTTTTCTTACTGTGTACTAACCTGAAGTTAGACACTAGTATACACTCAAATAGAAAATGAATGACTAAACTCAAAGTTGTCAGTCACCACATGAAAATCTGTGATGAGTTGTTTTTATGACCACTAATCTTAATATACGTCATCCCAATCACTCGTGATCGTATCATTTTCTGTAATAAAGAAATTATACAACTGAAAAGCTCTTGAGCAGCTAATGATTGTGTTGAGCTTACATCTGCGTTAGGTTATTCAATATAATACTGTTATTACTGACAGGTTAAGAGTATTTCAACACAGAGATGTACACGCCTAAAATATATAAATAGGCGGGAACTGCGATACACACCAGATAAAATATATTTATGGATAGTAATGACCGGATCTTGTGCAGAGGGTAAACATGCACTGCAGTAAATACCTCAAACATAATGAGCGATACCTAACAATGATGAGAGACAAGAGACGACGAGACTGTGAAATTACATCGACTGAGATGGTTAGGACAGGTGTTACGTATGCCTAGTCATCACCTTCCTCGACGGGCAATGTTAGCTGACATAGGGTCAGGTTGGAAAAGAGCCACTTGTGGCTCCATCAGTCAATAAAATCCACAACAGTTAGTTTAAGCCAGCCACGTAGGAAGGTGTAGACTTCCTGGTTGAGGTCGTCAGGACAGTAAAAACCAATAGTTGGAAACAATTGGTGACATAGCTCAAATTCGTTCTCAGTGGCGCAGATGCATCCACTCCTTGTGACTTATGATTTCCAATGAAACCACATTGCTCTTCGTTATTACTATACCTTTGTCTCACACCTCTTTCTACTGTCTATACTATGCATTTCTCCTACTTTCTTCTCTTGCTTCGTGTGCTACATGCAGTATGGCGACTCCAACTGCCGCACATATGTGCATAGTTCTATGTCGAAAAACAAAGAGACAGACAACAATGATTTCCGCATATACTAGCAATGAGATATCGTGCAACCATAAGTACTACTTGGAACACCACCGTTTTACAGTTGAAGTACATACTAGTTAGAAAAAAAGAGGAATGCCAATAAGGGAACAATGATGACACGTGATTAAATCTACCTATTTCATAACGAATAGTAGTCAGCTTTGAATGTTAAATGTGATTTTAGATAATCAAGTCATCATTCCAAATCCATCATACGAATGTCGGAAAAATACGATTCAAATTGTCACACGATAGTGTCTTTGAAATTGACTACTTTATACCTATTGCCATGATGTGGTTACATTTACTTCTGTTAGTTAGTTGCTAACAGTTTTTTGGTACAGTATACATAAATAGAAAAGTAAGTGAATATACCCAGAAAGTCATTCACTATGTTTTCTTACTTCAGCTAAACTTTGATAATTATGGTAAGAAGCACTACTTAGACCATTTTACCTGCAACCAAACAGCTTGTAATCACAGATGTCATTTTTCAATTATCTCTTCTATTGCTATACTTATATTGTCAAGAGAGTCTTGCAGAAGAAGCATTACTCTCACTTATATAAAAATTTACAAAAAAAATTTAGTAAAGGTAAAACAACGACAGGACGAACCACTTAGGATAGCTAGTGAAAATAACAGCATTTAGGTCTTACATATTTATCCGACAGGCAGAGCACTACAGAATATTATTTTTAGTATTAATGTCTTCGGTTGTGAGTGGAACATAGGGCTTCAGCAGTACATATCCATTTCATCCTGCTATCTGAAGTCCTCGTTAGCTAACTTCACAATCGTCCACAAGCTTTCACTTTCCTCTCAAACAATCTCCTCCATGCCATGGGTATGGGCACACATCTAACTCATCATTTCTCACGCATGTTCCACTCAACAACCTATTGTGTGATAACATACAATGGTCTCTCCGGTGTAAGTCCAGTCATTTTCCATTTCTTTTTGTATATTTCGTAGGCCTGTGGTTATAGGTGACTCAAAAGTTTTGATTCATCACTTAGTGTTAGTGAAAGGTACTGAAGCTTAAATAAAACTGTGAGAAATGAATTTACTTAATAGTTTCATGACTGAAGCGAGAACTGAAACCTGGGTGGTAACCCCTAGGTTCGAGTCCTGCTAAAACAATAAACATCATTTAAAAATTTAATCATCGCTTCATTACATCAGAATCAATCTGCCAACCTAAAAGCGCTTCAGGTAGTGGTATCACCGCAAATCGAGTACACTTGGCTTTCATAACCAACAAGTTTTCGCTACTTTCGTTTTTGTCTTTCAAGAAAATTAAGAAAAATGCACAAGTGCTACTTCTTATAAGGTGTATTGAAAGACATTTAAGTAGTGCATTTCACAAAGTTAAAATTTGTCATATGTTTATTATTTCTGTATTCTACCACAAGACTGATAAAAAATACCCCTGAAAGGACCATCTGTGTTTGGTGTGTGTAAAGAATATACCACGAGTAAATTCTGTAGAAAATCTTTCCTGTCTTTACATTAACAAACTCTTTTGGCTGGCTGGCTGGATTCAACATAGAACTCGGCACCGAAGTGCAGCAGTTCCAGTTGCCACGTTCCAAATAGCACACAAACGTAGACAACAAAATGAGTGAAGAGAATTAATCGAGTTTTGACAAGTATAAGAGTGAAACAGAATCAGTAATGGTAGGAAGGGATACGAAAAACTACAGAGACTGAATACATCTGCGCCATTGACAACGATTTTGAGCCATGTCATCTATTGTCTGTCTCCAGCCATTGATTCTTAGAGTCCCCAGGGCCCCAACCCGGAAGTCTGCATCTCCTTACCTGACTCAGTTTAACAGTCAAGGATTTCATGGATTGATGCCATGTTTTTGTTTGGCCACCACTTACTCTTTTCCAACCTGCACCTATATCAGCTAGTAATGCCCGTCGGTGTGGGGAGGCGATGGTTAGGCATGCGCAGCACGTCACCTAGCCATCTCAATCTATGTAACCTTATAGCCTCGTCGATTGATTTTCCCTCTTTGCCCAACACTCTACGCCTAACGTCAACATTACTTACTTTATTATACCACCTAACGCCGTGTGTGCGTGTGTGACCGTGTGTGACCGGCCTCAAGCAGTTGTCCCCTGGGCTCTGCGGTCACGCAACCAACTTCCATGGTGTGGGCAGCCAGGAAGTAACAATCGCCCTCACAATCCGAAGTGCACGCGAAACAAACTCTTTTAGGAAAAGAAGACAAATCAGCTTACCCAAATATCCATTTCAGGATAACAGTGATCAGCACAAAAGTATTCTATCCAAGCGGCAAATCCTTCTTTCAGCCATAGATCTGTCCACCATTTCATTGTGACTAGATTACCGAACCACATATGAGCCAGTTCATGACTAATTATAGTTGTAATGACCTCTTTCGTTGTCGGAGACAATGTATGCGGATTAGCCAATAGAGCCCGTTCACTTGGTTAACAATGAAAATATTTTTTATATATATATATGCATGAAAAATCAGTCATATAAAAGATTAAAAAGCCTTTTGTTATATTACAGGCGTGAACAGATTACATGATACAGTCCTTAAAGGGAAGAAAGGTAGGCTATGCTTTCTGTAAAATGATCGCAAAGCTAACTGATAAATGACAGACAACAAAGATCGAGAAAGTCTTATGCAATCAGCACGACTGCATCTTAAAGACTCAAATGATTGTAACCTGGAGTTCAGAATTACACAGGGGAGTAACTGGGGTAAAGTAAGGCAATCAGCAATTGCAACCATGGTGGATAAATCTGTACAAATTATTGCATTGCAGTACCGTAACATAGATCCACAAGAGTAGTCTGCGCGCCATTGGAAATAGTTTGTAAGAATGAAAAATTGTTATCACTGATTGTTCTGTATGAGAAAAGCCACCTACATACGCCACATTAACCAGATATAGTTGTGGGAATATGAATAAGTGTTAGTGTTGATCCACCTCCTGACTCTTCATGAATCACTGCATGTGTGTCGACTCACTTATAAATAGTACCACTCCACCTAAAAGCTTCTACTAGACACCCTCTCTTCTCAGGATTTTAAGTATACAATGTCTCTGAGTACATTTTTCGACCACCTGGTTACAACCAGATTAACATCAATGCGACATTTCACAACTTTAGAGTTCATCGCAAAAGTGAGTCACACCGAAGTCACACACCGAGCCGTTGTAACATGTGGCTTAATCATTTGGTTACAGATGTCAAGTTTAACAGTAATCACATGCTGGGTTCGTGAATATTTGGTTAATTTTTGACAAGAAGCTAAAAGTTATGGACCACAACTATTTTGTTCTACTTTTTAACCTATCAGTAAGGCAACGCCACAAGTTCGCTGGAGACTGAACGCAAAACCATCAGGTTACGAGGAAAAAACGTTACTATTCAGTGGTGTACAGCTAGTCACATGTGTATGTTTCCTAAACAATACAACAGTTCTAATTAAATTTGTTGTTTAAATGCTGCCGAATAGGTTTTGTCTATAATTATGAACAATCCATACACTTACACCTTCACAGGTACACAGACCTTGACTTGATTAATTGACAAACACCTTTCATCTCCAGTCCTAATGACACAAACACTATTCCTTGCAAGCTCTTATCAGTGACACATAATAATAATAATAATAATAGTGGGACAAGAAGATATGCGATTACAAGCCGTGTTATATAACCTGCTAATACAATTTGATTGTCTAAACATTCAACTCAATAGTCAGTCAAATACCTACCGAAGAATAAGCTGTCTCCTGGTAGGATGTAGTTTCATGCATATATGATGTTACCTAACAGCTACAAGTATGCCAATACCCCCTGGCAATGAGCCACATTTTTTGTGTAAGGACTGGTATAACAACACCAAGCTGCCTAAATCTCAGTAGGTGGAGTTAGTTATGAATCCATGATCCAAAGTTTGAAAGTACGGGGCCTATTCTAATAAATCATAGTAACACTCAAGTAGAGGTATGCGTTCAAAACTACAAGTCAATACTTTGAAATGGACTGTTTTCATTAATATTTAGGTAAAGGCATATACTTGGCGTCGGTGGCACAGTGGTTAGGACTCTTGCCGACCATACACATGGTACGGGATTCGAACTGCTGCCGACGCACACCTGATATCAATGGTCGGCCTGCAAAATTTGGGCTACCGATATCACATGCTGAAAATTCCATACCTGTACCAAAAATACTGTGTGGAATCAAGCTATAATAAAAAAAACTTAGTAGACAGTAAGGTGTATTATCCTCAGGTAACATTGTTCGCATGGATGATAGTTGTGTATTGGCAGAATAAAACCTTGTAGCAAGCTGTAAATATTGTGACTACAGGCTTCAACTAAGCGAAATCCAAACTACCGAAATAGTTGATAAAGATTGTGTGACTTTCTTTATTAAATAGTGAGCAATATGAGATGTAAAGTTTTGAAATGTAGCATCTGTAATCATCTCCCTTACTTATTCATTCGCACGGGTCATTATTCCCATTTAGCATGCCATTTTTCTGTCGTATGTTACTTAGGGAATTAAAAATCTGCGTCCCTACGTTTTTGCAATTTGTCAACCTTCTCTAGAAATATTACGTAGAATAAAACTTTTCCCACATTTTATTTTATCTGGAGAACCCAAATATGAACCAAGTTAGAGTCATTTTAAACCTACCCTTCAAACTAGACAAGTATAACATTACTGGCAAGACTTACCGGAAAGTTACTAGACCCCAGTTTTCCATTGCACCACCACTCATGTTAGGAACAGCAAGCAAATCAACTTTAGATAATGGATAATTTATACCAAAATATTCTCCAAAGAATGGTAAACTATGGCAGGCTACATTTAATGCGACTGCACCTTGATTTTGTTCTGAAACAAGACCCTTTCGAGAATATACGCGTACCAAGACACCATTTTTGTCAGTAGCCTGTAACGTAAAACAGTTTAAAATAACTATTTCAATGAGAAAAATTGGTAATTTGACATTACATCGCTAAAAAATATCCCCCGTCACCGAAAGCAATGGTCATAAAATTTTCAGAAGTAGCATTTTATGTAAACGTCTGGAAACTAGAATATACTTTACAACAAGTCCAACATAAGAATAAAAAGTCAACTTTTATTTTAGTTCAAATATAAGTGTGATAAGTAAAACTTCCCGCCAACAAAACAACTGTTATTAGTTTTTCGATCATACGCACATACAATTGCATAGCCATATTATAAAATAAATATCTGCGTAATCGCACGAAGGGTAATTGAAGCATCAAACTACAAATAACGAATTTTAGTCGTAGGTTATAATATGCCATATGAAAACCATAAAATATGCCTTATACGTTTTAAATCTATTGCGTCACTGAAACTAGAGCACACTGTGAGGGCAGACGGATGGAACAACCAGTGCTTATATTCGACGCCATTTCACACCACATAATAATGTAAGACAAAATAATATGTTAATGGTTACTTTCCTAATACTGTATCGCACATATGTTTCCGTGATTGCTGGCTGTTCTTTTTATATCTTATTGTGGAGATAAAACTGATGACAGATGCTATAAGAGAAAGATGGGCATATGTAAGATTCCACTCAGAAGTTACATTGGCACATGGACAGAAAAACTTCAAATTTTATTGATAAAGATATGAAGGTCTAACCATGTCTCAGACAGGAATTCTTATGAAGATGGACAAACAATTCATGAAGTGGCTAACTAATAGTCTAAGACAGAAGGATAGAGTAGCTGAGTGAGGTCTTAATATTTGTTAGGAAACAAACTTTTAGGATTTCCTGTGAATTACTTGATACACAGTGACGATTATATTTACTCCTTAGCATCGAAACTTTGAATATTTACATCATTCTTCATTAATTATTCTCCCCCACTTCGTATTTTGTCTTTTCCAAATCTTAGTATCATTTTATTTGTCGCAACTTGTTTCTGCTGGGGTATTTCAAAACGCAGCAACTTGAAATGATTCATCGCTATGCAATATTTCTTGTTTGCATGGAATAAGTAACACAGTTTCTAATCATTACAGATTTGTAATTTAATAGAAAACTTATTTTTTTGAAAATCTGTATGTCAGTCTATCGTTTCTAAATCAGTAAACAGATATGGATTACAAGAGAGATACAAACATTATCAAAGGAGAACGCGACATAATTGGATAAAGTTCTAAATCGTCAGACCTTTAATCTACTAATCGAGCGAAAGGAAACATGCAGAAAACCGTACGTATTATTAACGTAAGAGTCGAATTTGGATACTGTAGTAAAATATAATTCCAAATTAGATAAGTTTATTTGATATCATATGTAGTGCTACAATATCAATAACTAGGTGACGTTTCGAGCACAATTTATATCTCATAATCATATCATCAAAATATTCACACGACCTCCTAATTTGCTTCATACAGCTTTTTTTATTCCCTCCTGTTCTCTTTTGCATATATCGTGTCACGTCATTCCTATTACATATTTTTTGGTGTTAACTTAATGAAGAAAGATTCGGTAATTAACCTCCCTCCACTTAACTACACTACTTCCGAATTTTTTTAAACCTTATTCCACCCTGGTGTGCGATTATATGCAAAGAAAATGTATAGTAAGATTTAAAGATTATTTATCTTAGCCGGCACAACCATTCTACATCTAAATTTGTGTTTTGCAAAACGTTCGGTCATTGCTATGCATGCACTTGCATGTAATCACATAACAGGGTGGAATAAGGTTTAAAAAAATCCGGAAGTAATATAGTTAAGTGGAGGGAGGTTAATTACCGAATCTTTTTTCATTAAGTTAACACCAAAAAATATGTAATAGGAATGACGTGACACGATATGTGCAAAAGAAAACCAGGAGGGAACAAAACAGCTGTATGAAGAAATATTGATGATATGATTATGAGCAATAAATTGTGCTCGAAACGTCATCTAGTTATTGATACTGTAGCACAACACACAATGTCAAATAAACTTATCTAATATGGAACATGAAAAAAGAGAAAATAAGTGGATTTTTTGAAAGCAGAAGAGCCAAGGACCAAAGGTGCATTTGACATTTTGGGATTTTATTTCCAAACTACATTTAGACAATGAATGATCACAAATCTCACAACTCTATACACTGTGTCAATTATAATCTGTGAATACTATTTAGATTTTTGTGTTTTTCTTAAATGTTGAGTTGATAAGCAACATAGAGCTAACTGATGGGAGCACATTAGTCAGTACCTCAATTATCCGAAGTAATCTATGCTTGTTAGCTCCAAGGACTTTCAGATCCACACCACCAATCTTCCTTACTGTTTTGTTCTATATTTATAATAACTTCCTGTACTTTTGTGAAGATTGGAAGATAAATGTGTACATACTATTTAATCTAGGAGTGGAAGGAGTATTGCCGAAATGATGTGGTGGAATTACAGCAATGGGTGATTAAACCCTGATATGATTAAAAAGAAGCACAACTCTTCATTGTACTCAGGCTCCATCAGTTATTATTGTACACTCAACTGCCACTTGTCACTCGAATTCCCTTCTTTATTTATTGTCATGCCTGGCTTTAACTTTTTCTTCGATACTGCCGTGAAGTTAAAAAAAGGCTTCAATCAATGTGCAACTTGTGCAAGGTACCTTCCTGAAGCCATCAATATGACTATTCGTATTATAATAGTAGACAAGAACTATTAGTAGGACTACCTGACTATACAAGCGTATGACTGTAGTCTTGTGGCTTCACTTTCACTTCACCATCACTTACATCTAACTCTAGAGTCTAAATGCCTCAGATTTAAACAAAATTCTGACGACTAAATCGATTTGATTTAACTAGGATTCGTGAAACTAATAAACAAGGAACCTGGTGCAAAGAAAGTATAGACTTTGTCGATAAAATTAAGATTCTAAATCCCCTTAGTCATGAAGGCTAGTCTATTCGTCTTCATCGTATAAATATACGATGTCGATACTGAAAACTAGATTTCCAAATTAAAAATTTCCACAAAGGTGTATTAGTTTAAGTTGTCATCCTTTATAACGCACACAGAGAGCTACAGAAAAAATTGCACATAAACTAGAATAAACGGAAAAGTGTGGAAGAATAACTTTATGGAGAATAATGAGTTTATAGATGTAGATCATAAGTGCTAACAAGAGATCGGTCATTATGGATCAACTAAAATAAACAATCAAATAGTCCTTAATTGCCCATGTTTCATATACAGAAATATCACTAAATGTATCATTTTAATCTTACCTCAACATATTCAAGATCACCGACAGCGAAAGCAACCAAATATGTCGACATCTTCGGAGTATCTTGAAAATTAAATGCAACCATGTTTCCATCACACTCAACTTCAGATAACACGGGCTAAATAATACAGGAGTGACAACAAATATGAAATAAATGAAACATTTAAAAAGGTATGTTGGTTAAAACAAATAAAAATATTCTTTTGGACTGCGTAAAGGTGTTTCATTTTTTAAGCGATTGACTCTTGACTAGTCGGCAGTGATTCCGCTTCCTATCTCATTTACTATGGTTTTCGTGGTCAGATAAAATCATTAGTTTACTGACGAGCATAGTTCAGTCGATACTTTAATTATTACACTTACCTGCAATGGACTTGTTGTATTGTCACACCAAACAATCAATTTTGGTTTCTTAATTGTCTTGTTTTCTTTCCCCACCCCCTATTAAATCTCTACCCCTTATTACCACTGTTATCAACTTCACTGTCATCCAATTTTGGTTGAATTAAAGCAATTCAGAAGTCAAACCTAAGTTCATTTAACAGAGAGGAGCATATTATGCGGAAGTTTCGATGATACCAGTCATTAGAAGTAGACTGAAGCATTTGTTTTTCTAATCCGGAAATACTTTACGACTGGAATCAGTGTATACCAGTGTTACCTGCCAGTTGACTCCTAAAACACTACTGAAAAAAGTGTACCTCGCCAACCACAAGAAACACGTTAGTCATTATATAGCAAATCGGACAAATAAACTGACAAACAACTGGCAATTAGTCTATAGAAAATAATTATTGGTATGTGTGGATACAATTTAAAGTATTGTTTTGCAGAAAGGCATATACAATTAGTTCAGATCAAGCTTTGCTCTCATTTGAATGAAATACAATGAAAACCCTAATACTGACTATGAATTACCCAGCCAATTAATTTCATATCGGTAGAGATCAATATTAGATACAGTTAACACAGAACACTTAGTACTTCCACAACCAGAAAGATTGAAAAAGCTAGGATTAAAAAGGATAACCACACATTTTAAGTAACCTACCATATTTGAGATAGCAATCTTCCCCTTAGGCACAAGAACTTTGATGCTGAAAACCGATTTGAATTCTGGCTCATCCAAACAGGGGAATGCTTTTCTCGCACCGGTAGGCTAAACAAATCATTAAAGACAACTAAAAACTAACTTCGAAATCTGTTGAAAATAAGTAATGCGTTTCTTCTCCTGATGTATATGAACTTCTATAAAAACCTTCCATTTTATCACTAACGTTCCCATTATACTCCACTTCGAGCGTACCTAAGGTTGCCTAAGACATTACAACACAATGTGGTGACAAAATTATTCTCATACCAATGAAGGTTTTGCCAACATAAAAGAGACCTGTTCATATTCGGGCTTTTCGACTGCTTCTACGTCAACTGAAAAATTGAAATGCATTAGAAAATGACCTACTTCCGTTAAATCTTGCTGCTGTTATCGATAAATGCTTGGCATTTAATACTATTTCTTTAGTTCCTTCAGCAATCTAAGGATTACATAAATCTATCACATTTACTTACAGACAACGACAAAACCAACTTCCCCGTATACGTGAAGGTGGAAAAACATGGTTTAATTTCTATTTCATATTTTATAGGGATGATGGACTTTGGAAGGCGACCGGGAATGCAAGACATTATAGTGAAATCTGTTTGCTTTGCAAAGTAAATTGGTACAGAGTAACCGTTGATTCGCCAATATGATGACGACCTTGATAATTCAAATCTAGTGGATAATGTTTCAGATGTAGATTCAGATTCAGATGATAAATAATAGTAGTAAGTTATAACCTTCCTTAAATCTTGCAGTATGTATCACTGAAAGCTCTTACCGATGAAGCTAATATAATCAGACCAAGTAAGGAGTTCGAATCATCGACCATCTTGTTTAAGAATCTAAATACCACATGTTTTTTCAACAACGATTTGAGTAACTTTTGTGATGATATCACAGAAAGATCCTAGAAGGAGAGGAAAGGCTTTAACTTTAAGCACCAGAAAACCACTTATACACTGTAATGCAGAATTAAGCCATATTTCCTTCGGTGTAGTGATACAGCCACCTCTCATACGGAAGATGGGAGATACCACTGACTAGTTTAGTTCCTATCGATCTAGAACGCTATTGTCTTGAATTATGGAATAGCTGCTTTTATACAGGCTCGCCATATGTTGGGTAGAGTACTTAAAGCTTAGACTGATCTAAGCGCTTGAAAGCCATTCGGGGTGATACATAATTCATAAACTCTCAGCTGCAGCCGTAATGCCGTGTGCAGCTGTTTTCAGGTAAAGGCCTGCAATAGTTTGTAAGTCCTTCTAACACTCAACTCCGGGCAGTTCCGCATCCTTCAGTAAGACGTGTAAAGAATCTGAGGCAGATGCACTACTGGTCAGATCACTCAGCTGTCCTTGAGATCTTAATTTCCTCTGTGAAAAATAGTGAAGATGAGGAAAGCATTTCTGGCAATTCATTTATGCATAGTAGGAATAAGTTGGGTCTCCAGACAGCACTCTGTAGTACTCCACGAAATGACATCTCTTCTCTGGCAGTACACGATTAACCCTTGCGTTATGCCTCTTGATCATAAGGTAGTCCCGTAAACAATCCCATTGGTACTAACTCAGTCCAACCCCTTTTAGTTCAGTATATGCCCAGTTAGGGCACTTTACTGAATGCTTCATCAAAGTCGACAAAAACTAGCTTTAGCCATAAGCTTTCATCCCTCGTTTCTACCCTGTTTTCCATAAGTGGCTGCAAGTTTGCTACCCATGATCCCCGTAGTTTCAACTTGTGTCCACCCCCCCCTAGGAGCATGTTTCAGACATCAGCTAACTGCTGATCCCTTGTGATTATTTCTAAAACCCTCCTATAATTAATGTCACACCTACACTCCAGTAGTTCATCACTGGTTGTCTTTGCCCCTATTTGGAGACAGGGTTTATAAGTGCCTACTCCCTATACCAAGTCACAAAAATTTTAAGAAACTTCGTATAAGGCGAGTGTTTGCATCAGCTAAACGGACTATAAATCGATTGCGGACTCCGTCAAGGTCTGGTAACTTTCCTGGCTTCGGTTTAAAAAGTAGTTTAAGAAGCATTGCACCAGTCACCATAAATAGGGGAATTTTATTGGTATTAATAGCGACCTCACTGAAATACCGTAGTCGAAGTCGGACGAAGAAAATATCACTGAAGTATTTCGAAAGATTCCCAGCCTTCGTTTCTTCAGATTTTGCGACCTCATGTGAACCGTTTAGAAGCGCTGGTACACCGCTACTTGCTTCAGTCCTCTGTCATGTGTATGAGGAGGCTTTTTGGACAGTGTCGGCAGATCAACACTAACTGAACCGCGTATTCTATACAATTTCTGTATATCGTTTACTTGCATTGCTTCTAAATTTTATAATAGTTTGTCCGAAACGCCTCTCTGTTACAGTAAAATGGCCGAATAAGCTATTTCGCTTCCTTAGTAGCGTCATTTCATCAATTATCCAAGGTAGACAATGCGTTGGTTTCCGATTGGTAGACTTAGGTACAAAAGTTGAACTGATATATTCATTATATTCCTAAATCTTGCCAAACTTCTTAGACAGTCGCATTTGTACTAATTGGCCGGTAGCTCAGTGCTGCTTTGATCTCGATGCTAATGTATCCGCATTTTTAGTGTAGTAATCCATTTGCGAGTTCATAAATCTTAGACGTAAAATCTGAAAAAATGCCCTCACTTAATCATACTGCTATATTTGCACATGGTGGTGCAATCTTAGTTTTTCATTTAAATAGCATATGACTGCGGTGGGAATATATATGCTATGCTTTGTCCCATTTGTGATTTGATAAAGACAGCCTTTATCTGACGTTGTAATTTGCTCTGGCCATTGTTGTGTGAATTGCATAACAAGATAATTTTGCGTACTTCCACAAAACAATTTAGATAAGAAGGCATTACGCTTTCCATTTCTGTGGGAACTATACAGTTTTTAGTGTTAGTGTGAATTTTCATATGCTTAAAATACCAGTTCAATTCATTTTTTCTTCTTCATTTTGATTATACCTTGATTCCACAGTCTTGTGTGAAATCTTACAAAATGATACAAAGCAAAAACGGCTGTGTTTACACAAAGCAGACAATTCGAGTGGGTTACATTACTCTCCGATTATTCCACACAGCTCATTATAGCAATATCACTCACAATTCACCTGAGACACAAAGACTTGCAACAATTTAGCTTAGAGTGTACCGCAATCAGATCACATGACGCGCATGCAAATATTCCAAATAAGAAATTCGGCATTTCCATGAATTCAGGTAGCATATACAATTTTAGTAGCAATTGTTAACAAAACGGCATTTACTAAGTGTAATTTTATCCAACATATCAATTATGTTTAACCTCAACACAAAAATAAACCTATAGGAGTCGCGCCAGCTAAAATCAACTGAGAGCTGTCTGTAGTCATTTTCCATATGTAATAGTAAGTTCAGTAAATAGTTTTTTCTGATGTTTTTTATTGTGTCATGGATGGATTCCAGGGGATTTCGTCTTCTCGATAAGAAGTTTTGGATCCCTTAGACTGTCAAAATTGACTTCGAAACAATCTCTTCGTAGTTATTTTCATTGGCTTTAAAACTGCTTTTTATTAAGACTTTTCTCAAGTAAACTTTCACACCTCATTCGGTCCAATAGATATAAGTAACTGATCGCTTTTATATTTCAGGATAATTCTTTTGAAGTACTGGTACTTGTCAGACATCAATAATCATTTACTTAAGTAAAAACTCTGTTTCCGATGACTGCAGTCATTGGGTGTATTAGGACTGACTATATGATTTAATCGACTTCAGGATAATTATTGTAGCTGCAATAGAACACAACATTGTTTCTCAACATTGGTGACGGAGAAATAAGAGTTCGTGTATTATAAATGCAAATGTTATGGAGTTCGTGAAGTGTTCTCGCGTACAGACTGCAGCTGCTATATTTAGGAAGGAACAAATGCATTTTGTCTGCAGAATGATGAGAAAGTCTTTGGCGTTGAAATGCCCTTATACATTTGACAATTAGTCATAAATATTTCTGTATCGCTCATCGTCAACTAGATTTTTGGTTTCTTGTTGATTGATGATAGAAGGCTTGAAGCCTGTGTCAATCATTTTCTGGTAAATTTCTGTGCTTGTCCAAATCCTTGAATACGTCAATTAATGGCTCTGACACTTTTCTCTGGAAGTAGGTTCCGGCAGTTGATCATTCGGTGTAAGAAACAATACTCTACGACAATATAGTTTCTCATTGGCTTTTGAACTCTCCTGCTATTTCCTTTATTGTCCCGAGCTGGTGGGAAGGAAACGAAGGAATAGATCAGATCCGTAGGGTTTATTTAAAATTTTAAACATTGTAATGGGATTTGTCTGCCTACGGTATGACAGGAAGGAGAGATTTAAACTACTTAGTCTTTTCTTGTATAATAAGTTAGTTATGTCAAAAATCATACGTGTTGCCTTCTTTTGAACCCGTCCTAGAAACCATGGGTCCCCTTTGAAACAAGGACTACCTGTCTGGTTACAGCTCTTCAGTTTTGACTTCACCAGAGATGTATGTAAAGAGGTGAACATATCTCTGGTAATTCTAGTAAAGGCTCTGCGAACTGCCCATAAATATTAGGGTTTGGATACAACTGCTCAAACTGTTTGTGTCTGCCTGTGTACTCAGTGTCAAACAGTGTAAATGAACTGATCGTCTTTGATTGTTGACATGTGCGTTCTATCTGTACTGTTTCGTGGTTTAATATAATCAGCAATTCTAAGGTTAATTAAGAGGAAAGAGTCAGCTAATGATGTTGTGTACCTACATCGATTGAGAACGCCGAGATACATGTTATGTATGTCAAGCTACTGCCTTACTCATAAAACAATGTAAGGTGATATAGGCTAGTTTTGAAAGGTTTAGAGTTGGTCAAACAAAGCATGATATCAATCTGTGAAGTCTTAACTGTTAGTTCGAGTCACGCGGGTGGGTGTAAACTGTTTGGTTGGGGCCCTCGATTAGATGGAAACCAGTGGCTGGAGACAGTTGGTAACATTATTCATAGTTGTTCTCAACGGTACTGATGCATTCACATTGGTTTTGTTCTCTAGGTACATTAAATTCTCGTTATTATCCATGTAAGTATTCTTTCTCTTGTAAACTTCTATATACTATTGGCTTTTTGGATTAGTACTTTCCCTAGCTTAGCGCATGCCTTTATGAAACATAGCAATTTGGACTACACTTTTGTGCAAAGTTCCTCATTGAAAATTTAGTTCAGTTAAGAGTATATCACATATTAGCAACCTTTTTTTTCCTTCCCTCACGTTCCCCAGTGGAACATAGGGCTTCAAGCTAGAAGCTTGAAGTTTCTGTAGCAGTGTTTATTTTACAGGATGGAGTTGCTAGCCTCATGCCCAACCTTTCCTCTCTACCAGCATTATTTCTGGCTTAGCGAGGTAAAGGAGTGCGTCGGCCGGGGATCGAACCCCGGACCATGTGCATAGTTGGCGAGCGTCCTAACCGCTATACCACCGACGCACTCCATTTGCACTAACGCGCCAAAATATTATCTCAGTCAGTAGTATTAATGGTCATATGCATGTATGGGCTACTTAGATAACATTTACCCACTATATAAATTTCTGACTGCTCACAAGTGGTTTATCACACCAGGAAATACTTTATGATCTCATATTTTATAACCATGTGGTTCATTTCTTTATGCAACGTAGATCTGCAGAGGAGTATATTAATTTATCTTAATCGTTTCATGACAGCACATAAGCAGAATATAACGGAAGCATAGACTGAAATCTATTGTTCCTCGTCGCTGAATCTAGGATTATCAGATAGAAGTGA